AGTGAAGGCTAATTAAATACTGAAGTGAATGAAGAGCAGCAGTTACTAGTAAAAGTTCTTCTTGGAGAAGAATGGAATTCTGTGTCTGACTGACTGGTTAAGGTAGTGGCATCTGAGGAAGGGTCTGGGCAATGTCCTATGACAGTTCCTTTGAGACCTCGGATTCTGTAGGTTCTACTATTTGCTGCCCTGCCTCTTCCCTTCCTTAGTCATCTATTGGGGAGGAGAAATGAAGCCCACAATTGAGAAGCCAAAGACAAATCAGAAGTGGACAAGCAGTCACTGCAGTGAGTAATGGTGCAATCTCTGTACCCGGGCTGCCTGGGTTGGCATCTTGGCTCTACCACTGACTCGCTATATGACTGGGCAAATTATTTCTCCTCTGTGAGCCTCTGTCTTCTTGTCAGTAAAAAGGGGATCATAATAATAAATATCACATAGAACTGTTGTGAGGCTTTAACGAGTTGACCTATATATAAAGCCCTCAGACTAGTGCCTGGTATATGAAAAGCAATTAACATTAGTTATTACTATTGTTGTCATATCTCATGCAGTGTAGCCACATAGTACCTTCCATCTGAGCAAAAACAGTATTATGATCCTTGTAATGATCATAATCTACTTCATGGCTTACCAACATGATAGGAAGGATGGGTAACTTTGTTAAGCCATGCTCTGAGTAAGTTTCCTTAACTGCTCCCAATTCCTGAGACTATTATTCAAGATAAATTATATTTGCCTCTCATGTTACAATGTACCTTCCATCTGAGCAAAAAACAGTAATAGGTCCTTGTAATGATCATAATCTACTTCGCAGCTTACCAACAAGATAGGAAGAGAGGATGGGTAACTTTGTTAAGTCATGCTCTGAGTAAGGTTCCTTAACTGCCCCTAATTTCTGTGACTATTATCCAAGATAAATTATATTTGCCTCTCCTGTTATAATGAAGGTCAAGATTTGAACTAATATTTTTATGCTTTAACAATCTACAAAGGCAACTTGGGTATAACACAAAATATCTCTCTCAGAGACACACAAATTATTTTGGTGTCATGAGAAAACCATTAATTTCTTAATAATATTTTCTGCCTAGTGGTAGCTTTGGTTTCTTAGCCTAGCTTATTAAAATATAAAAATGACCAATATTTCAAAGACATTTTTTAACCAACTCTACTGTCTTAAGAGTCTGGAATTTAAGAAGTAACAATAATTCTTTTCTGAAAAAGAATAAATGCAGCCCAACCAGTGTAGTTCAGCAGTTTAGCATCAAGCCAGGAACCAGGGGGCCAACAGTTTGGTTCGGTTCCCAGTCAGGGCACATGCCTGGTTGCAGGCTCAATCCCCAGCAGGGGGCATGCAGGAGGCAGCTGATCAATGACTCTCTCTCATCATTGATATTTCTTATCTCTCTATCCCTCTCCTGTCCTCTCTCTCCAAAAAATCAATAATCTATAATAATAAAAGGGTAATATGCTAATTAGACCGAATGTCTTCCAGATGTCATTCCAGACATCCGAAGCCAGCCTGGGTCTGGGTGCCTGCGGGTGGCCAGAGGAGGGAAGCATCCTAGGTCTCAGGTGCCTGCTGGCAGCGGCCGCAGGAGGGAAGCCCGGGTCCCAGGTGCCGAGGAAAGCCAGTGCTGGCAGCTGGGGGAAAGAAGGCCTACTCTTGCACGAATTTTCGTGC